CCAGCCATTGTCATTAGTTTGGGTCAAATAAACTCTTATAAAAATTCTTCACAGATTTGGACTTTTCCTACATCAATATAATTTGTAGAGCATTACTCACGTGTTTGTGGTGATGCTGGTATAAACAAACCTACTGCGCTGCCAGTCATATAAGAGTATAGTGCATACTATTATGTACAGTACATAATACTTGATAATGATAATAAATGACTATGTTATTGATTTATGTATTTACTATACTACCCTTTTAATAATTATTTTATTTTTTTAAAATATATTTTATTGATTTTTTACAGAGAGGAAGGGAGAGGGATAGAGAGTTAGAAACATCGATGAGAGAGAAACATCGATCAGCTGCCTCCTGCACACCCCACACTGGGGATATGCCCGCAACCAAGGTACATGCCCTTGACCAGAATTGAACCTGGGAACCTTTAGTCCCTAGGCCGACGCTCTATCCACTGAGCCAAACCGGTCAGGGTTAATAATTATTTTAGAGTGTATTCTCTCTATTTATAAAAAAAAGGTTTGTGGTAAAACATGCCATGTTACCCCAGCAGCAGCCTCATACATCTTGTGTTTACCACTTCTTTTAATTGTATCATTTTTCTCTTGCAATTAATTTAATCTCATGTGTTTTGTGCAGTAACAAGCCATACAGTTTTGTAACCTAGGAGCAAAAGGCTATACCATATAGCCTACCATCTAGGTTTCTGTAAATGCACTCTATGATGTTCAATTAACTGTGAAATCACATTAAGGATGCATTTTTCACATTAAGGAACACATTGCCATTGTTAAGCAGCATATTACTATGTTGAGAGATTTATTGTAACAAACTGGCTTTTGTGATTATAGGGGCTGGTTAAGTCTGACATCTGTAGGGCAAGTGGACAGCCTGGCTGGTTAGAAACACAGGCAGGATTTCTATGTTATAGTCTCAAGACAGAATTTCTTCTTCTCAGGGTAATATCAGTCTTTACTCTTCAGGCCTTCAACTGATTAGATGAGGCCCACCCACATTCCGAAGAATAATTTCCTTTGCTTAAAGCCAACCAATTATAAATGTTTATCACATCTAAAAAATGCCTTCAGAGTAATATCTAAGCCAATGTTTGGGCTCCACCGGCTGGCCAAGATGACACATAAAATTAACCATCACAGTATCTATAAATCCTGTTTAAAGTTAAGACAGACAGTTATGTACCCTGCTTAAATGGCCCTGCCTATACATTTAGTCAGAGCACATTAATCTTCTGGTAGATATTTACATTTTGTTCCAAGTGCTATTATGATCTTATGGTTTAATGTTGCATGGGCCACAGGCAATGATACTATTCTTGCCTGAGGTATCTTTGCTGTAAAGGAAATTAGATGTCCATATTATCTCAAAAACATCAGCTAGCTTGTGAAATCTTCAGGAATTCTCCAAAATATTGTCAGATCATATTTCATAGAAAACTCTCCCATTTGCTGAACACCAGGGCATCCTTCAATGAATGAAAGGGTTGAGTTCCAAAAGTTTATTTATTTTTGTTGTTGTTGGAACTTGAAACATGATTTCCCCCCAAATCAGGTTATAAAACATTCTGTGACGCCTTGTTGGGGCCTCTGTCACACATCCAGGCTCCCAGCAAAACCTAGATAGATAGTATCTCCATTTGTGTTGTCAATGTAAAAAGTGTCCAAACCTGCAGAGTATTTTTATGAGGTTATTTGAGCCCAAACTGATGACATGGCTGGGAAGCAAGATTGTACATGCTCTGAAGAATGACAGTTTCGTAGTTTCTTTTATACATTTGGAATTAAGGAGGGAACATAAGAAAGATTACATGAAGGTGAAAGAAAGCAAGGTGTGGATTAGATTATAAGATAGTTAGCAAGATGATGTGGTCTCTTGAGGGTGGTTGCATTTCCTAGGGGTCTGGAAAAGAGGATTACTTCTGACATTTCAAAGGTGCATTACCCTAGATGCACAAAAACACTGGACTGGGCTTGCTTAAATCTTTCACTAAAGAAGTTATAAGCCTTGGGTGTGACTACCCACCAGGACCTGCCCAGTTGGGAATTTATGATCAGATCATTGTGTGAGGGTATTTTCAGTTAGATTTACTGCAGGGCTCCTTTTTTGGTCCCGTGTAATTTTAACAATTTCTTTAGATAATTAGTTGCACAATTAATTTCCAGATTGCCTATTTCCCTTTTTCTGACTTTCTGAAAATATCAGAAATGACTGATCAGGTGTTTCTATCACAAAGTTATATGGAGAAGTTCACTGAACAGAAAAATGTTTAATTGACAAATGGCCCTATGGATTATATCTCGTTCACAGAGGTTCTTCATTTTGATCCATATGTTAAAAAACAATTAAAATTCATTATTGACATTTAAAAGTCAGGAGATCTCTCAAACCAAATCGAACCAGATTCCCTGGATTCTCTTGGGAAACACACACACACACACACACACACACACACACACAGACCCAAAAACTGGGAGATCTGGTTATACGAGGCCAGGACCAGCTCACAGTAAATACTGGCATGAGCAAAGTAATGGAAGTCCTTGGTTTGTGAGCCCTAGATCACCAACCCCTGGCTGGCTTCACTGCTATGTTACTAGCGGGTCCCTGTAGGCATTTGAGTTGTGACCTCTGTCATACGGACACTCTGTGACACCTTGGTAGGGGCTCTGTCACACATCCACCATCAGCCAGTGCACTCAATACAGATGAAAAGCAGGGGATGGTGCTTGGTGGGGAGAATGAGAGGTGGCAAAGGGGACACAATGAGCTCTGGGGATGTTTGGAAGGAAGAAGAGTAAAGGGACCTTGTGTGTAACACTGAAAGGGAGAGCCCTTTCTGAAGCAAGCTCACACTGTGTGCGCTGAGGGGTAAATGAAGGTGCCTTTACTTTGTATATTTTGCACCACATTCCTGGAGCACTGTGCCCTGTCACTTTTTGCAGGTGTGTTTCAAGCGAGTATATTATATGATCGTTAAAAATAAATCCCCAAACAAAGCTAAGGAAATACAATTTTAAGTCCAATCTTCTTTCTCTATGTGCATTTCATGCCAGATTTCCAGCATTGCAGGAAGGACCTTTAACATAGCAACTAATCACTGTGTATTCTAAGGAACAAAGACTGGCCAGATGTTTGAAACTCAGTGTTTATTTTAATACAGTCAAACTGAAATCTCAGTATCATTGTCTCTTCTCAACTCTGAGTACACACTCAACACATAAGGCACGATGGTGTCTGTATTATGATGATTAAATGGACAATTCATGTTGTTAGTATTCAATTATCCCCAAATGTTTATTAAATGCTGACATATTGATGGAACTGTGAGTAGACTCTATATAAACCAGATAGGTAACCACCCAGGTATCATTCATTATTCCAAATAAACAACAATGCCAGTAAGACACAAAATAATGACACCAGTCTGATAGACATGGGCTGATTCCATTTTACCTTTAGCTTCTGTGAAAATATTAACTTCATAAAAGTTATGAAATCCATAAACAATTACATCAGCTAAAACAGAGTGAATTAGGGTATAGTTTGAGTTATAATTCATATATGTGAATTTTTACATGTATAATATTCATATTTAATGGAAAGCAATTTTTATACACATAGAGATTGTAGCATTTTAAATTTCCATTTCTCAGAACATAATAAAGGCCGTGGTTGTAGGACAGACAAAATGTGTGCATGATGGTGGTGAGGTTAGGGAGATAAAATAATCAGGGCATGTATACCAACCAGGTGGATGGGAGAGTGAGGCAAAGGAGTCTTGGAAAATGATATACATTCATATATTTACCTGAACTGAAGTCACAGTTTTTCTGAAGAAAGTAATTAGAATGTGACTGGCCTTGTCAGTTAGATTAGATGGTGAACATTTTCACAAACTCAGTGAGCTAAATCTCTTGTTCATCAGGGTTTTGAAAAAATATTTAAAATATGTGGTAAAATAAAATATTTTTTTTGACAAATAAACTTTATTGAAAATTATGACAATGCAAAAAATATAAAAATAATGTTTTCAACCCCCTTTGAATATATCTTATTTTAGAAAGTACCTTAAAGTCAAAACTAAAATATATAATTAACAGTAATTTCATAAGTCTTGACAAAAGCTTTCTTGGCAAAAGACCTAATAACTAGATAAAAATTTGATTGCAAGCCAGGTAGTTTCCAAATTTTTTCTTCCAGCAAAACTCAAGGCAAGCCTAATCAAGTTGTCATCTCATAGAACATGAAAATAATTTCAAGGCAAATCAGGTGATTTTTGACACAAGAACTGAGTGACTTCGTTTCAGCAAAACCTTTCATATCCCCATATAGAAGGGCAGGCAAAAGTATGTTTACAGTTGTTCATATAGAAAAACACATGCAGCTTATGATTATTACAATAGCTTCATTAACTCTGTTCTGCATATTCACAACTGTAAGCCTTCTTTGCCTATCCCCGTATTTATTTATCTTAGCAAGATTTCTTGGACTTTACATTTATAAAAATAAAAAATAAGGGGGGGGGATATACCAAATCATTCTCATATTAGTAAATAATATTCATGGTTCAATATATGAACTACTTTTTTAAATGCAGCCTCACTCATCTCATTAAGAGATGCATTTCCAACAAAAATTTCTTTTATGCTTAATAATTATCTATCAAAAGTGTCAGCATATTGATGTTATTTTGATCAACTGTGTACTAGTAATTTTAATGATAGCAAATTTTAACATTTAAAGCATAATGGGTGCATAAAGTAAAATTTTTTTCAATTTACATATTGAAAATATATATTACATATTGAAAATATATACATGTTTTGTTGCAGATAATTTAAAATGGTTCTCTATAAAAGGCTTTCAAGCATAGAATGATATTACATTTGGATACATTTATGTGGAGAAAATCAAATGGATTTAGTGTTGGGGAAATTTCCCGGGGGCTGAGCGACCATAGGAAGAGGCTGATAACTCTATTACATTAAAATTTTATTAAGGGAATTTACATACCAGACACCATGGATATCCACCCCTCTTTCGCTCTCTCTCAATCCTAATACATGTTTTCCCCACACAATAATACTCACCTATACCATGTACAATGCACACTGATCTTTTATTTTTTGGTATACTCTGTTATATTTTGTTTATTTATTTTTGGCTAATATTGGGCTATGAATATATTGATTTCATTAGGATATCATGCTCCCTTCAATAAATCTGCAGTATGGAAAGCACTGAACTAGATATTCCTAACGGAAAGAGAACACATAATACATTAGCAAAATACCTAGAATGCTTAATAATTAACACAAGAAAAAAAAAGCCACCAGAGTCATATGCATTATATTGGCATCCTTATTACATTAATTAAAATTGCCCAAAGGAGTTAAAAGTGTTAATATGCTTTCAGTCATGGGTTAATATTTCTGTTCCATGACTCAGTGGCTCTACACAGAACACAAACAGGAATTCTATTCAACTTCGAGACACCTGGAATTATACTAATAGAACCATGTATAACTGTAAATCTTCAAGTTTTAGTGAGAGGGACTGATTTTCACACACTTATTAGAAAAATGACTTTAAGAGAAGATAATAAATATCTCTGAACTGTACTTTTCTCCTCTGAGAATGAATGATGATACTACTGTCTACCTCACATCATATATAGTGTCAGGCATAGGGAAAGCGATCAGTATATGTGAGTTGTCTTTTATTTACCATTTATTCTAATGGGTTCAGAGAAGGGGTCAGTGGAAAGATAATGAGGACACCAGAATCTGAAAAGAGAGGAGGAGATGGAAATGAAGATGCACTGGGGATCACCACAGATACCACAGAAATGGAAGATCCCAGGGGTTGCAATGGTAGCGACTGGTAATTATCATACGGCGTTCTAATTTTAATTTCTATGTTGGCCAGATTTTGCCACCAGTTCAGCTAAGCCATTACCTTTTGTATTTGTTTCTACATTCGTATAGTAAACCACAAATGTTAGAGTACAAGATGAGCTTTTGGAACAAAGCAACCCCATATATAGTGGCTTGAATAGGACAATGGTATATAATTCTGTCATGTAATAGTCCAGAATTAATTATGTCAGGGCCAGGGGGGAGGCTCTACCATCCTTAATAAGTGTTTCCGCTTTGCTGAAGTTCCTCATTTTCCACCCAGCGGAGAGGGGGAAAGGACAGGAGAACACAATGCTCTCCTTTTGGGGGTACCACTTTGAGGAGACACAAATCACTTCTATCCATGTCCCATGGGCCAACATTTAGTCATAAGATGACACCACATTGTAAGTGTTGCTGAGAGATATCTTTTACACCTTGGCAGTCCTATGCCCACTAGAACTTGGGAGTTTTATCATTAAAGGGAAAAAGGGACTTGGTAGACAACGAGTCCCTGCTGCAGTTCTCCTCTTGCCTTTCAAATATGCATGCTCTTCTTCCCACACACGGAACACGTTCACTCCTTCCCCAAAGCAGACAATTCAAAAGTCCTTCCAGTCACTACAATCAGTTCAAAGCAAAGAGCTCTGGGTGATGTGCAGTCCTTTCTGGCTGGGTTGGAAGTGCATCATTTGGTTTGTTGGCCCATAAACGAATAGGAAGGTGTAGTTCCTTCCACTCAGTGCCCAAAATGCAATGGAAAAGTAGAAACAGGGTAACTGTCATTTGGAAAAGAGGAGAGAAAGCACATGGTCATTGGTCAATGAGAATTATGAGTATCTGGTAGGTCGGAGATGTGACAACTTGGGCCCTGGTAATGAAGTGAGGTCCTTGGTTAGACTCACCTCTCTCCCTTGCTCTCCACAGTCCCTGGCTTTGTTCTCCTGGTCCATTAGCTTCACTGGCTGCATCTGGAGACTGTGCTCTTCCCAGGGCCGACACCTTTCACAGCCGGATCTGTTGGTTCAGGATTGAAGACCTGCATTGCTTTCAGGGTCCAAGAATCATGTGGCTCTGGCACTCAGGGGATGCACTCCCCCTGAGACTGTCACTAGAACCGTGAGTTCAGGCACCCAGCTTTGCTGCTGTGTTCCAGTGGCCAGGAAGCTGGAATCAAGGCATCATCGTTACTGCTCCAACTGCTCTCGCACTCAGAAAGCTGAGAATAGCACCTGGAACACTGCTGCAGAACAAAACAACCAAAACATGGCAGGAAAATGGGCCTCATTTCTACCTTCTACCTCTCACATGATTGCACGCACCAGACAGAACACAACTCATGTCCAGAACCCTATCTGTAAGGGAGTTTTGGAAAGATCATTCTCAGATTCCCAATCTTTCCAACCAGAAGGAGCAGGGTTGCACGTTGAGCTAGCTAACCCACAGCATCCATCACAAGGGTTATAAAAGAATGTATTTATTTTGATTAGGAAGTTCACTGTGAGTCTCAATGGTGTTAATTTAGGAGATCTTGGTGCACGGTTAGAAGGCCTTAAGTCCTGTAGCTTGGGAGGTGTGTGTTTGGAAAATTTCAGAGCCCCATTGTTTACTCAAAAGGAATTTCTGTGAATGTCAGTGTGCAGCAGTTGGTGTTCCCAACACCTCTGACAGGGCAGGCAATACAGACTGTGCAAACAGTTATCCAGGGCTAGCACTGGCTCAGCAAGATGGGAGAGGGCCTAAAGTGGTCCTAAAACTTTACTATCAGTCTAGGGATAAATCAGGGCTTCCTGGACCTATTCTGGGACTGAACATCAGTCATTTGTTCTTTCCAGATAAATGGCAGAATGACGAGATGGATGTGTCATGTTCTGGCTTTGTAGCCTTAATAAACACCATCTCCATGAAATAAAGATAGTATCAAGCTTGCTGTTGCTGTTGCTGCCACTACAATGACTCACTGCCAACACTGTTATTAACATTACAACCCTCTTTACAATGAAATCTGGGTAAAGTGCCTCTTTGTCATTCTGAAGTGGCACTACACCAAATGGTAATTTTTTAGGTGGAAAGAAAAAATAAAAAGAATTCAACTTGCTGGGCACCTTACCATGAACACATGATTTGGACTTAAAGGATTATCCTGTTTATTTGCTATTTGTTTCTCATGAACCACATTGAAAAATCAAAACAAATATGTTAATACTATGTCTTAATAAATTTTCTTGCAACTTTGTAAAACTATATAAATGATAGGCTATTTAGAACAAAAATAGCATATTTTAAGCTGGCAATGTCACAAAAAGCCAAAGCAACACAGTAGAAAACCATGCATACTTTTCATATGTTGAAGAGTGTCCATAGATTTGAATCTGAGTACATCTGTGGTCTGAAAAATACAGATCATGAATTAAGGAAGCTTTGAGGAGGTTACTTTATGAGAGAACAAAAGACAAGTCCTCTTTAGTGATCTGAAAAAAAAAAGTGTCCCTTCTATTATCATATTAAAGGCCCAGTGCATAAATTTGTGCATGGGTGGGGTCCGGCCAGCCCGCCCGATGGGGGTCGATCAGGGCCAGGGCTGGCCAGGGGGAGGGGGGGGCCGTGGGCGGTTGGCCGGCCTGCCCTGCCCCTAATTGGGGTGGGAGGGACTGATTGATGGCGTGGCCATCAGGGGGGAGGAGACATGGGCGGTTGGCCATGGGCCCCACACCTGAAGTGGGGGGCACTAGGGGGCAGGGCAGGCTGGGGGAGGTTGAGGGGGGTTATCGGGGCCCTGACTGGGCTGGTTGGCTGCCCCAGTGAGCGTCATAGCAACTAGTTGTTCCAGTTCTGGTCATTCCGTCGATCCCGTCTCTTGACTTTTATATATATAGATGAATGGAATGTTCTGAGTCTTAGCAATAGTGGCATTGTTTATAGTGGAGTTCCCCACAAGGGACTCTGATTGGGGTAGGAGGGTACTGAGATGCAGAGGACTTCTTACTCCACATTCCTCTCTCTCTCTCTCTCTCTCTCTCTCTCTCTCTCTCACACACACACACACACACACACACACACACACACACACACTTTTTATCTCTACCTGTTTGGGGAGGTAATGTCACTTAATAGTTAAGATTTGGACTTTGGAATCAAGCTCCACTGTGGCCCAGTTCTGGGATTCTGCTAAAGTCATGTAACCCCTCTGAGCTTCATCTTGCTCATTGGAAATTACTATTATCCAGCCTCTTAGAGTTGTTGAGGAAGTAAATGAGATAATGTCTATAAGGTGTTCATGGCATGTAGTAAATTCTCATTAAGTATATGCTATTTCTTTCATTCTTAGAGAATGATTACAAACCACCTTTTAAAATTTTAATGGACTAGAATTGTGTTTAAAATTTAAAGGGTACATTTTTGGAGGAAATAGCATTAAGAACAATAATATACCAATGTTATCAGAGCACTTGTAAAAGTCTCATGATAAAATAACAACAAAAAGATGTTTACTCTTAGCTCCAAAGTTCAAGTCTATATTTTGTAAGTTAACTTAGATGCTTAAAGAGCAGCATCAGTTCTTTGAATACACTGCAATTATAGAAAATATATTAAAAGATCATTAAATTGTTTATAAAGTTGTTGCAATAAAAATGTGTAAGCCATATGCAAGGGGGCAGAGCATGAAGAAGTACAAGAAATATTTACATATTATAAAGGGCTTTCTGCAGCAATAGCAGTTGGAAGGCTGGTTGCAAGGTCTGCATATTAAGTAAAGTTCTCTTTGTCCCTTGTCCTGAAGCTGTGGGAGAGAACTTTTCAAAGGGGATCCAGGAAGCAACTATAGAGAAAGGAGTCACCTATTTCTAAGGAACTTAAGCCTCATCACCAAAAACTACAGGAAAGGTAGAAACAGCTCTTCCCAGGAAGGTGTGAGCAGGGATCCAAGATTCTAGAAGATAAGAGGAACGTTGAGAGTTGGGAAGTCCAGAGAGCCATAGCCAAATGCAGAGAAAGATCAGCCCTGAGACTGATGATAAAAGTGAACCAGCAGGTTAAAGAAATCCATAAAGAGGTTCTGACCTTGTGATCCGGGAGCCAAGATGCATTCCCTTGGGAGAGTGTCTCTGAGGCCTGGTGAGCGGAAAGAAATCACAGTTTTGAGAAGGAAGGAAAACCAATCACAGATAAAACCAGAAGTCCTACCTTTGGGATCACAGAGAGGGCAGGGCACGAAGTGCTGGGTTTTGTATTGTGTACGAATAGAGATGACTACCAACAGTGAGTGACAGGAGGTACAAGATAAAAGCACTGAAGTAACTGTGGTTGCCCGACGAAAGGCAAAAAGCCTAAGAAAATTTGGGGAGAATCTTGCAAATCCGTGACTACTACAAAAGACAGAGCAATCCAGCCAGGTCAGGCCTGGAACCCAGGAGAGTACAAGGCTGAGGACCATGACAAGGCGTGAGGCTGTGCCCCACTCACCTGTGGCTGAAAAGGCTCACCAGTCCTTTCATGGGAAAGCATGTGGTGACTGCAGGAAAGCCAGTCCTGTGTTTTCCTCCTTATTGACAGCAGGACACAAATATATGGCCAAGTTAAAAGCTTGGCAAATCTGTAGTGTAGCCTGGATTCCTCTCAACTCATCTCTTTAAATTTTCAATGCCCATCATACAGAATCCTATCTAGATGTTTCAATAACATCTGACCTTTTAATAACTTTAGTTTGGTTTTTCCAGAGGAAACTGAATGAAAGTAAACAACTAAACCTCAATGGGTCCAGGTAACCAACTGCTTGAAAAAGTAGTAAGGTGCAATGGTAATCATAATGAGGGCATATTTTGGAGTCAGCCGATCCAAGTCTGAGACCTGTCTCTAGCACTACTTAGAGCTGTGGGCACATTTTAAACCTGTATGTGCAACATGGGGACAATGATGGCAACCTTGTTGGGTTGCTTGTTTGTTTTTTAAAATTAAATGACCTTACACATGAAAAGCATTTGGAATGGAGTAGGAGCCCAGTAAATATTAATCCCATTTGACATTGCCAAGCAATAGACCCAGGCAGGCATTCTGACAGGTATGACCCCAGGGCCAAGTATTGCAGAGTTGTGCAGGCTTCTAAGGGAGCGGCTAAGGTGTCTGGTCAGATTGCCTGAGCCCAGAGCCACTCAGTAGTGTTATGACCTAGGAGGAGTTACTTATCCTCTCTGTGACTTGCATTTCTTATCTATCAATGAAGACAGGAGCACCCCTGACAGGGCTGTTTTGAGTGCTCAATGAAATAATTCGAATCAGGTACCTGTAATGATCTGAGAAGTGAAGAACTGAGGTGAAGTCCATGGTGACAGAGGTTGCCTAGTTTGACCTTGGTCAAAGGCAGCCCAGGAGGCTAGCGTGGCCCTTACTAGTCCCTGGGGATGATCCCCCGTGGCCCTTACTAGTCCCTGTGGATGATTTCCCCCCCCCCCCATCTGCTTTATTTATTTATTTATTTTAAGTTCACAGAGCAGTTTGTTTGTTTGCTTGCTTATTTATTTATTTATTTATTTATTTATTTATTTATTGTTTAAAGTATTACAAATAGTGGACTGTGGATGATTTTTAATAGGCCCTAGTTAACATTATTGTCCCTAGGTTGCACAATGCCCTCCAGAGAGACATTGTGGCATCATACAGAACCTGGGGATGGCCTTTTCTACTCAAATATAATGCCATCCAATCTGGGAGAGCCACCCTCTGTGGAACTCCAATTCCCCAGGGCCAACTTTGGGTGGGTATCTTTGACTTAAAATTCTACTCTGTTTATTTTCTTACTTGCTTATTTTCTTTTCTCCCCACTAAAATGTAAGTCTCTGAGAACAGGGACATTGAATTATGTACTTCTGTGTATCCAGTGCCTAGAACAGAACCTGGCACAAAGTAGGTAGGTAGATAGATGCTCCATAATACCTGCTAAATGAATGTACAAAATTTCCTCTGCGATTCTGATACTTGTAACTGAGGTGTTACCATTAGTCACATCTCTTTTGGTGAAAGTGACAGGAAGCTAAAACTAAATAGCTTAAGTAACAAAAGGAAATTTATTGGTTCATAGAACCAAGAGATCCATGGCCTCAAATAAGGTAATCTGGATCCTAAAATACCGCTTCCCTCTGTTTTGGTTTCATAGGTTTGAGATAAAGATTGGTTTGCAGGAAGTGTGTTGGGAGTGTTCTTGATATCAACATATATGAAGAGAGTGAGGAAAGTAGGACTGGGCAGAGGGACACAGCTGATTCTGGGAGTAGTTCTGGAGTTGGCAATCCCTTTAAGGTTGTATTGCTTGGAGAAAAGGGGTCTGGGCATTTGTAGGACCTCACCTCCACATTATTCAGTCACTGAGCCAGGTGGCTATCTTTGGCTGAGTGTCATCAGCAACCAATATTCCAAGTAACTGGGAATATAAGTGCTCTGGTTCTGAAGGAATGTGCCACACATACAGTTGGTTGACTTTATTCTCAGGCACTGCCTTTTCACATGCCACTAAAGAGAGGCTTACGTGATCCT